AAGTGCCCTTCTTGGCCACCCTCCTCGTCGGACCTGACCTCATCTCACAATTCTCACATCTTCATATGGAATCTATGCCGGCATTTTCCAACAGTCGTGTACACCAGGGCGTTATTTTGTGGAGCCACTCCAACTTCGTTCAATTCTACTGATTTGATTCTATAAGGCTAAGGTTTGGCATCTACTGTATCACCAGGTCAATATCGAAATGCAATGTCCTCCAATGGAAACCCAATCTTGTATCTAACACCGAGGGCAAAGCAGTTTAGACTCCACTGTCGTTTGCTTATCCTGCTATTAAAAAAATAAACATGACACAACATTCTTTCACAACCAGAAGATAGTTCAAATATTGTAGAATATGTCATACAATAGAATGTCTAAAATTCTACATGTAGGTAGATTAGAATTGAGGCAGGGAGGGCAGTGGTCCCTCTTTTCAGATTTTGATGTTTTTGCTATAATAATTCAGAATAGACAGGGAATCCTTCAAGGAAATTGATATAGGCATTTCTACACATACAGTATAGATATATGACAAAGTTATGCTAGAAAATCTACTATTAAAATTTATACAGCCTAACTACTGTCTGTCTATATTGAAACAACTATATTACAGAGATTTAATTTTTCCATCATTTGTTTTGCTGGCATATTATGGTTTCTATAGTACAAATACACTTTCATGAATATTTCTGTAGCAATAGTTGCAGGGGTTCGTGTGTAATTGCAAAATCTGAAAAGAGGGATCACGTCACAGTTTCATTTTCTTGTACATAATGAGATTCTATTTATGAGCATGTGGGTGACATTCGTGACATCCGTCACACTAGACTCGGCTATGTTTGATTTGAAGATATTAAAATCAGACTTTTGGCCCTCTCATAAAGGGGATGGCGATTTATTGTATTAAGCAAAATAAGGACTATGACGCATCTTATTATAGATAATAGATGAGAACATGGAATCGTCAATTCCGAAGGCTGCTCCAAAGCAGCTTCTGAATCTAAATCAGAAACCTAACACGGAATTCCTTAGCTGCTGCAATTGCCCATTCGCCTCGCGTGCCATAATGCGCACCACCCCGTCCTCGTCAGTCGTAGAAACATATATGAGTACCAATGCCGCATGATTCATCTCAGATCCGGAAGGAACAACACCCACATGCTCCCCATCGTACACACGCGAAGTCAATGCAAGTATGAGGAGCGAAAGAAAGTGCAAATATACCGCTCGTCTTAGTGGCGGAAACTTCGGATTCGACACGGTGGGGCGGGTGTCCATTGTGACCTCGTCATCCTCGGTCTCGGCCTTCGTTTCTCGACTTGCTCCGGGGTCGCTACCTACAGTGGCGCGGCGTGGTGGAATCATTTTAGCCCCAGACTCCGATTTATTCTTGATTTTGGCGTCAGCCAATTTGGTGCCGCCTGTATGCAGGCCTTTAGACGACTTGATCGAATCAGTATCCGTACCGGAGAAATTTGGAGAATCAGGCTGTCTGGGCTTTGGCCCTGACCGCACGGACTCGATCTGCACTAGGTCCACCATAGCGCCTATAAGATCTACCGAATATGGATTCAATGCAAGAGCATTTGTATCCGCTGCGGTGGCCAGTAGCGACACAGCAGACGTCCGCAACGTTGTAGGGAGATGGGACGCCCGTACGACTGCGAAGAGACGTGGGACGATGATGTCAACTATAAAATAGAAAGAGAAAATAAAATCAGTAAGAAATGTTTCATTGGTAGCCGCGCCTCGGCAGGGTGTCCGTGGGCTAAGAGGAAGCCAAAGTAACGCCATGCCGGTGAGGCCGTTGAAAAGATGGCAAAGAGAAGAGAGGGGGAAACAAGGGTTAAGTGATGGGTAATTACCATATTTCCCAAGCGCGTCCCCACAGCGTTTGATGACCTGGCCTAAGGCCTCCCCTATTCGAACACGCAAGTCTACTTCCCTGCTCGTCATCGTCGCCTCTGACCCTCCTACTCCCTCCAGACCTTTAGCATACTCGTCTAAAAGGCCCAAGAGCACTTCCCGCCCGAACCCATCGACTAGTGCTGCGACCCCCTGTACAGCATTCAGGAAAATGTAGGAATCCTCATCCTGGATCGACTGCATGAAAATATACAGGATGCCCGGCACAAGCGCCACATCGACCGACGGCGCAGCGACTCCAACACCTTGCACGGTGCTGACGGTGGCCGACCCTCCCGCTTTATCTTTATCCCGCCTTCTTGGGGCGGTGCCCGCTGGTGCGACCAGCTCACGCAGTAACAATAACCCGTGAGCGCGCACAGGCAGCAATGGGTCTTGTAAAAGTTTCAACGCTCTCTGGTATTTCTCTCGCGGACTCTCTTCCCCCACACCCTCTTGCTCATCCCCCTTCACAGGAAACGAGCTCGACGACACGAGTCGCGCGGTTAGTATGATCCTCGCTTCCCGTGCCCGAGGCCGCAGAGCCTCGGAATCCGAATTTGCTAGTGGCTCGAGTTGCTCATAGATGTCATTGAGGAGGGGCACGGTTCTAGGCGATAGATCGGGATGTTCTAGTCGCTTCTGTTAGATATGTTCATACAGGCCGGTGAGTGAAGGTCGCCCTACCTTCCAGAAGAGCAATAAGCAAGTTGACAGCTGTAACACTCAGATGCTCGCGCTTGTTCACGCCCTCCAAGCCGGGCGCAAGGTCTTCGTCGTCGCTGTCGCTTTCCCCGCCCTCTCCGTCTTCTTCAGGCACAATGCGAAGGCTCTCCAAGGAGAGTCCACCTTCCCTCCTGCCTTTAGCGTTTCCCACCACAACCTCTTGCGCTAATGTCATCTTGATGAACATCAACATACGCGTCACGTCTGGGCGACGGAGTGGGCTGTCCGCTGGAGCATCTGCGCCAACTTGCTCGGAGATTTTCATGCTGAGCTGGAAGAGCAGCAACTTTCTGGTATCTCGAATAAGTCTGGTTCTGGGCAGCAGCAGGATGAAAGGCAATCATACCGCAGTGGGTTGCCCTTGTCATCTAGCTTAACGTGCGTGTCGAGGATACGCAGGTAGAGTGCGGATGCTACGTCTTCCCTCTTTAGTGATTTGAGGAATTTAGCGAA